TTAACGATTAAAAACCCTTCTGAATATTTGAAGCCGAGGTGGCTTTTGGAAGAATCTCCTTTATCACTCCAGGGATATCATAATTAGTAAAACTTTTACCTGAGGTGCATCTTCATCCATGCACCCAAGGCACTATTGCAATATTTTTTAAGAGTTCCATAAAAGGTTCTATCCAATGGTTGGAGTTTATGGATGCAATGGGAGGGAGAGTCACTAAAACAATGCCACTCTCAGGCAGCTCAATGACTTCAATATGATGAGATGTATGATTATCTAGAATAAGTAAAACATTTTTTATCAGAACTGAGCTCAGCATATTCTATAAAATGTTTTAAAAAATGTATAAAATCTTTAACCAGCATCCATCCAGAACCATTGGACACGCCAATGCATTCCACAGGGCCATCTCTTAAATAATGATCATAGAATTTTTTTTTGATATATAAACATAGGTGTAATAGAATTTCCTAAGGCATTAACAGGAATTGCCAAGGTCATGTTCCGATCTGATGTAGTAATTTCCCCAACCTGTTTCTCCCCTTTCATTGCTATAACTTTATTAGGCTATTGAACTGTTGTTAATCCTATGAAAATATCAAAGATTTGCTATCGAATATATTTTTAATTTACCAGTTTCGTCCATATTATATATGACCTGGTAGAAAGTTATTTTACCTTAAAACAGTCAAATAATTATTAAAAAATAACTCACCCATTTTCATATTGAAATTGACTTGTTGCCTCTGGTGTTTTCAAATATATAGTTGGATTTCTTTTAATAAATGCTCCAAACCAAATCTTCACCAGCTGATTGAGTTAAATCCCAAGATTTTGGTACTTCATCACTATATATATATATGGCTGCATCAGTTTATTTTAAATATATATCATATGCATATAACTAAATCTTTAATGTATAGGTAAGAACCTAAATATGATTTAATTGCATGATATAATATATAATGCTAAATCAATGTATAATTTATTTTAAAATTAATATTACATGGCGTTATCATTACTATACATACATAGCAGCATCATTTTATTTAAATATATATCAAACACATATAATTAATTACATATGATTCTAATGCATAAGTTTTACTTTAAATATTTAAATATTAAAATCAAGATCATTAACATATAATGTATTTAATAATTAAAAAAAATTTATATTAATTTGTTCTCAAATTTATTATTATTTAACTAAAGAAATACCATGGCACAATTTTAAAGATAACATTCATTTTACAAAGAATTTATATGATATAATAAAGAATTAAAATACTTGTTTAGATCATAATCCTAAGAATACTCTTGATCATTTAATTAACTATTCTGTTAATTTAGCTTCTTGAATAGGAGTAAATACTAGCGCTGTAAAGTAACGGTCGTAACTAACTTTGTTACCTTTTTGAAGAAAAGGAACGCCATTCTTTACGTTCTTATAGAAGTAACGGTAACGCGTTTTTTTTGAGTAACGGAGCGCAAAACGTTACTCATTAGCGTTACTTTAAATTTTTTCTTAAAGAATATAATAAAAAGATAATCATATTTTTTTATAATATAAAATTACTTTTTATTATTTTTTAATATAAATGATTTACGAGTTTTTAATTCATATCAACCACCATTCCTTCATTTTTATTTTAAATTCTCGTTAAATTTTCAGTCGAATGTTAATCTAATTAATATTCAATCAAAATTCAAAGTAAATGTTAATAATAATAATATTATTTTATTTTATAATTTACTTAAAGAATATTATGTCCATAGTACTTACTTTATCAGATGAAGATGTGTTAACCCTTCCCTGGCCCCAATTTGAAACATTAACCCTAAAGAAAATTTAGGGTACAAAATCTACACTTTGTAAATGTAAATTATGCCCCAATGCAAATATTTGAACCTCATGTCCATCAGTTTAAAAAAGCATATGAAGGTAAAAAAATGAATTTATATATTATTATTTTAAACATATTTATATAATAGAATATTAAATCATGGGTATTATAAAATAACCATAAAAATAGTATTCTTTTATAATATTTTGAAAAGCTTAATCATGAAATTATAATATAAGCAATTAAATTGGCTGGGAACCAACATTAAAAGGCCAGCAAAATATTGGTATTGGTTCAAAAAATCATATTGGGTTTAAACAATACCTTCTATTTCTTGTTTTAGTATTGCTATTGGTTTAACTTCAAAATGTTTATAAATTTAAAGAATATTATAGTTATTTTAAAAAACTTTGTTAAAATAAATATATATATGGAATAAAACTATGAAGCAATATTATTTTAGAGAGCTGAACTTATATATTTTTCCTGATTCCTTTTTAAATAATAATTCTGAATTCTGAAAAAGATAAGAAATTGAAAAATTATCTTTGGCATTCATAATTTCAATTTTTAATTTTTTTCTTGACAAAGGGATCAAAAAATGCAATTAAATTTTTAAAAAATTTATCTTCAATTATTGAAAAAGCTAAATATTTTTAATAAAAAATTCAGGAATAATATTTTAATTAAAAAATTATATCACATTCCTCAAAAATGAAAAAGATTATTGAACATTTGAATAGTAATAAAAAAAAATTGAAGCCAATCAACTCACACTCATTGACAGCAGAATCCATATACATCAAAGATAAAAATAGCGCAATCAGCTGTTAATGAATTAGTTTTTAATTTTGTAATTGAAGAATTACATCGATTGTAGAAAGTAGTGATGTTAAACGGCTCGTTTTGAGCCAATTTTTAAAACGGCAAACTCAATACTTTAGCCAGAAAAATATTGCCAAAGCCTCGAGATTTCGTTAATATATGTCTAGAGCTTTGTTCCTTCTATGAGCAAAATCTTCAAGCTTGCGTGATATTTTTCTGGATGAAATATTGAGTTAGCCGTTTATACGACTCAAAACGATCCGTTTAGCAACACTAGTAGAAATCACTGCATTCCTTAATATTATCAATAAATTACAGCCAACTAAAAATTTAATGTCTAGTTCTTCCCTCCTCACTTTCCTTCCTATCCTCACGATTCGCCAGTCTTCATTACTTGCTCACCCCTGCATTAACTCCTGCACTGGTAACCAGGTTACTCTTCCAAACCTATCTTCCTCTCTGTGTCCTTCTATCAACAACGTCTGCCCCGCCGCAATATAAAAAAAAATTTACAGTTCCATTATACAACCAACTATTCTATATAGTTCGGAAACATGTCCAACCAAAGAATCAGACGAGAGAAGTCTACAAACCATGGAGATGAGAATGCTGAGGATGATTGCTGGGGTAACAAGAAAGGATAAAGTGCGCAGTACAAGAATACTAAGTAGTTTAAAGGTAGTGCCCATCAAGACTAAGTTAATGGTAAACAGACTTAGGTGGTATGGGCACACAATGAGAAGGCCTATGAACTACATAGGAAATAAAGTTAAGAGTTTGGAAGTGATGGGCAAACATAAAAGAGGAAGGCCAAAACTTCAATGGGGCCATAAAGTTAGAGCCAATATAATGAAGTATAAATTAGATAAAAGAGATTGTATTAATAACATAAAGTGGAGAGAGATGTTGAAGGAGCTTACCACCAGAAAAGGTGAAAGCTAAAGAGAAAAAAAAATAAATTTAACTAACAAAAATAATTAAATAAAATATTTGAAAAAATTTGCTTTAAATGAATTAAATCTATATAAATATCTTACAATCTTACTTAAAATATATTTATAAAAAATTAATAATTAACTTAACTAAAAATAATTTAACTATTTGCAAAATTAATCAATATGATTTTATTAATAAAATCAACACTGAAACAACACAACAGTACATAGCACATTTTAACCAACTTTTAATAACCACTGTAACTCCCTTCACGATTTTCTGTCACTTTCAATAACAACGGTACTCCACCAAAATTACTCCACAGAACCTTCAATATTACAGCTAACACACTGTACTTAGCAAACGTTAAGTTTTTTTAACCTAAATAAATACAAATATAAGAATAAAGTTTTACCTTTTTCGGTCACGGCAAAACTATTGGTTGTCCGCTGTTAGAAAGATCATTTCCCCAAATCGAATAATTTGTAAGATAAGACAACGAATAATTTTTTATAAAAATAAAATAAAAATATTGATATATTGCCTCAAAGGCATTTTATATTCTACATAAAATATAATTCTCTAAAATTAAATAATAGGACTCATCCTGAGTCTTACAAATTATACAATTCAGAGTCAAATGCTTGCGCCGTTGTTGCACCCAAACTATTACGCGTAAAAAAACTATAATAAAGATAAAAAATATATACAACAAAATAAAGAAAAACAACCCCAATTATAACAATAGTAATCTTCCATATAACCAATTCATCCAAAGCATTGATCAAATCTTCTTCAGACATCATTATATGAATACCCTTTTAAACAAAGTCTTTTAATTTTTTTTTCATTCTTTAACAGAGTACTGACACTAGGTGAGAGTTTCTACTTACAACAGTTTAGTTTTTTAAAATTAATTAGCCCTCAAATAAACTATTTGAAATAGAATACTTTGCAATTCACAAAAACTTTTATTATATTTTCAAATTTTGTTATGGTTTGAGTCGTGGGAATTTATTTTCCTACCTCCCCCCCCCCTTTTTGGCTACGCACTTGAAAAATTGAATTTCTAAAACAAAAAAATTTCGAAACTAAAATATTTAATGATATATTTATAATAATATTTAATAAATATAAAGGAATTTAAAACAAAATAAAAATATTATTATTTAAAATTATAACAAAATATATTTTTTAAAATGGAAAAACGTATCTAAAATATTTTACTTAACAAGATTTTATAAAACTTCAAACAGCACACGAGAACTTTTTTATAAACACGGATCAAATCATATTAAAAAATTAGACCTATTGCTAAGATAAAAAGATGAAGCCTTTAACGAAAGAAAAAAAATTTCTTCACATAATATTTTATGATACTTATGATTAATACAGTCGAATCAAATCGTTCCACTTGGGGCAAATCAATTGGCCGGTCACATACTTGGGGACAAAAACTCTTCTAAATTGCAAAGTGAGTTGGAAATCGTAAAAACTAACATCCAAGTCCTGGGAGATATTTTAAATGACAAACTAACTTCGAATGTAAATGGCTCTATTTGTCACGAAGAAGATGTAGATTTGGTCAAAGTTTATACCTTCTCATAAACAGTATTATTTTAAATTAAAGAAAGGAATAAATAAAGCAAGATGTAAAAAAATTTAAATGGTGAATGATAGAAAAAATGAATTTATGAATGATGGAATTGATATATATTTTTTATATTTTTTAAACGGCTGGATAAATGTATAGAAATTATATTCGATATGCAAGGATATGCAAGGTAGGATAATTGAACTGCTCAACAAAGTTGCAAACGAAAGTATTCTCAGTAAGTTCACACATTGATAATTTATACATTACACCTAGTTCTATATTCTTAAAATTGACGGGGTGCACATTATTTCTCTAAATAGATAGGGCATGCAAAAACAGACTTTGTTTTGTAAAAATATTAAAAGTCAAAAAATAATTTGAAATACAGTTTTATAAAAGCTTTCAAATTTCATTGTAATTTTTTTATATATAACTTTATTAAGTTTGTGCACAGGGTAAAAAGCAGGGATCCAACCAAACTTCTTAACCGGTATTATTTATATAACCTTAACCGAAACTGAAGCGTTAAAAATTTTGTCTCCCCAACCAGTACCGAAACTCTAAAAAAGATATATGTGAACCGGTTCGAATTTGATACCTAACTCTTTTATAGTATATAAATAATCGATTATGATTGATAGTACCAGTAAGTTTTTCAGATATTTCCTTATAAAATATGATTTGACAGAAATAATGAAAATATTTTATAAGGCTCGATATTATCTTTTTGGGAATTAGGGACAAAATTTTAAAAGATGTGCTATAATTTACATAATTCTAATTAGGTCTAAGTGAAAAAATCCTAACTGTTTTTTAATGGCTCAAACCGAACCTATACCGAACCTGAACCGTATTTTTGTCTGAACCTAAATCTGTAACGAACCTATATTCGTTATGATTCGGATCCCTAGTAAAAGAGGTTTAAAGGTTTCAAATTAAATATTTCGAAACTTTTGGCTCAGGGCACAAGAGGTTGATAAACATTACTTCTGAAAATAGCTGATACCGCTTTCATTACTTTGGAAAAGAGTAGAGCGCTACCGATTTTATATTTAAAGTAGCACGCTGAAAGCTGGCATTTTTCGAATTTTTACACTACTTTATAAAATTTAATATAATCGTTGCTATATTTATTTTTTCAGCATTACAGGAATGATGAGATTTTTTCCCAGCCATCCAAACCTTATTAAATTTTTTACTACTAATTATTTACTTAATAGGTTTAGACTGGAGAAAAAAACGAACATAAAATTAATAATGATTCTCTAATTAAAATTAATTTTATAAATAATATAATAAAAATATCTCCTCATTTTTCCAAAATTTATGAAAAACAAAAATACTAAGTCTGATAATATTGTTAGAAAATATAATTTCTTCTTTAAAATATGAATTATTTATAATATGAAGGTTATTATAGGAAAAATTTAATAATTTAACAAAATAAAATTTTTTCAATAAAATATAAATTATACTAAATATTAAATTAATACAAGATATCTAAATTAAATTTTTTAAATGAATAAGTTGTTAAATCCAATTTATTAGTTCTGTCATTTAAAAAAATTGTTTAGTTTTTTTAAAAATTTTAATTAAAAGAAAAGTTAGAATTAAAAAAAATTTTACATAATAATAAAATGACTCGATTAAATTAGTTATGAATTTGTTTGGAAAATTTAATTTTAAAAATAAATTAAAATTCGATTAAATAAAGATTTCTTTTCCATATATTATTCCTTTTCAATAATTTCATTATAATTTTGGTATCTTGTTGATGGAACAATCTGTGATGTTCTTTCTAAAGTAATTTTACTATTAATTCATTTAATAAATATTATCGAATAAATAAAAACATCTACTGACATATTTTACAAAAATAAGGTTTTTAGCTACTTTAAATTACTTGCGCTATCTAGCGAAAATTTTATTTTTGTGCCAAAATGATATTTTATTTAATAAATATTATATTATGAAATATAAAAAAATGTTAAATTGACTTATATTTTCAAAAATTAAGTATTAAGTTGTTTATAATTATTAACACCATCTAACGAAAATTTTATGCATTTTTTACTTAACTTTTTTTTACTACTCTAAAAATTTTTATATGAATACTTCTTGGTACTCTTTACAAAATATCTGAAATTTGGAAAATAAATTTTATACAACATAACATTTAAAAAATACAATTTTATACAAAATACATGCATAGTTTACTTTGGGCTATAAAATGAGCCATAATAAATATATATAGCATCTAATATTAAATTTATCCCAATTTGAAAAATGACCAAGCAGAGCAACTTTAAGACCCTATATCTCCTATTCTAGTAGTGTTAAGGGGCTAATATTTTGAATTGTTCAATTACACAACACTTCATTAATGAGTGACTACTAATAAATATCATCTTATGTATTTTAATTAAAATTATATATTTTTTATACCGAAATACTCTAATTTGATGATTTTATTTATATTATAAATTAATATATATTATCTAATGAAACTACCTTAGTTATCTTATTAATTAGTTTTCCTTAAGAGCAGCGCCGTGCCAAGACTTTTGACCCCTAGGCCAAAAAATAATTTGGTCGCCCTTTAAAAAAACACAATTTACCTAACCTAAGCTTATTTGATATATTTTGGTGATGTGAAATGCTCTTTCAGGCGCATTTATTAATTCTGGTATATTTAATAAGAATCTAAAATCTTTAAATAGCATTAACTGCTAAAAAGTTACGGGCTACTCGTTACTTAAAAAAATTAAATATTGTATACAAAAAAATATTTATTTTTTTCGACGATATATAATAAAATAAAACTATACAAAAAGAATCTATAATAAAGATAAGATCTTTTTATAAAAAATTTTCATATATAATTATAATATGAATAAAATTATACAAAAATAATATATTATAAGATAACATCTTTAAGTAACAATTTTTTATTTATTTTTATCAACAATTGATTATTAAAATCTATATCAGACAAACAAAAGCGCCTGTGCTCAACACAGCTTTTGCCGTGCTAAACACGTTCAATTGGCGCATAGAATGGAGAGTTTTATTATATTTAATAAATAAAAATTTCAATTCGGGGAATTTATTAAAAATTTTTAAAGAATTATCTTTATTTTGAAAAAAGCTTAATAATAGATCTTCTCCACAAGGATCTTCATTTATTTCCGCATCAAATTTTTTTTATCTTCATCAGAAAATATTCTCGTATGTGTGTTGGACTAATGAATTAAGCCTGTTATTTTTTTATCAAGATATTTTCTCATACTGGAAATAAGTTCTAGCATTCTTCCTTTGTTGACCTCTAATTTTATCCAGGGCCAATCCAATTTAAATAGTGGGTGAATTATTGCAGATAATCTTTATAAATGTGCTTGAATCTATTGAAAATAAGATAATCAAAATATAAATTATAAGCAATATTTAAACTGTATATCTTTTATCTATGCCTTTCAGGATTGAATTAATAAGCGGCTAACAAAACGAAATTATTTAAAGCGATTTTTTTAAGCTTCAATATTATAATAGTTATAGTGGGAGTATCCCAAATGTGCTTCGCTCTCTAAAATTGAAAGAGCCTTGGTAATTAATTCTCCTTAATAAGACTATTAATTTTACGGAGTTATAAAAAGAGTTCCACCTTGTTATAACAGGTTTAATCAAATATCTTCCCACGTTTTCCTTAAAAATGGCTGCACAGTTTGAAGATTGCCCATATTTATTCTACAATAGCTTACATTTAGAAAATGTAATTTTTGAAATGGATATATAATGGACATCGTTGAATGTCTTTTCAGTGTCAATACTTGCAATAAGATTTAAATTGTAAGCTTAACAGGAATGATGCTTAATTAAGTAAATATTATCGGTGCAACAAAACTGAGAAGGGAGAGGTAAAGTGAAAATTGTGAGGTAGAATGTATTTTTATTTATGGCCTATCATTTTTATTTTAAAAATAGAAATAAAATGTTTTTATTATATGAATCAAATTTATTCAAAATTAATTTTATCTAAATAAATAAATTAGAATATGGAAGAAAGAGTATTCCATAAATTTATAATATTTATAGAACAGATATATTACATAGAAAATATAACACCATAATAAAATTTACAAATCATAAATATATATCCGTTAGATGGCGTAATAGATAAAAAATTTAGGTTTTAATTAAAAATAATATGAATTATAGGAGCATAATTTTTTACTATAGATTAATTTATTTGGTACAAACTGATATAATAATTAGTGATCTGCATCGGGCCTAATTTTTCAAGCACGGCCCGAAATTTTTTTTAAAATGCCGGCCCGGCCAGGCCCGAATTTATTTAAATATAGAATTTAATTTTTATAATTACTCAAAATAAAAGACATGTTATATGTCGTTTAGTTTCAATAAATAAATTCAAATATTTTTATTTTACATAAAAAATTCAATATAAAATAGATAAATTTAGATATATTTAAAAAAATTTCCAAGGTCCGACCTCCAGGCCCGAATTTTTTTTAAAAATATTAGGCCCGAATCCGATTATTTTAAATAGAATTAGGCCCGAGCCACACCCAAAGCCCATTTGGGCCGGGCCGGGTACGGGCCCTGCCTAACTTTGGCAGATCTTTAATAATCATAGAATGAAAAAAATTTGAAATGTCCGTCATTATTTCTTGAGTTATGATGTCAATTCTCAGTTTAGTCAATTTTTAGATTTTTGGGATTTTAAAAATATTTTATTTTTTGACTCATTTTGTGTAAACTAATTTATATAAACATAAAATGATAAAAATTTTAAATTTCCATCATTATTTTTGGAATTATGATGTCAATTCTCAGTTTAGTCAATTTTTTAAAAATTTTTGAAATTTTAAATATATTTTATTTTTTTGACACATTTTGTGTAAACTAACTTGTATAAACATAAATGAAAAAAAATTTAAGTGTCCGTCATTATATTTTGAGTTATGATGTCAATTCTCAGTTTAATCAATTTTTTTAGATTTTTGGGATTTTAAAAATATTTTATTTTTTAAACTAATTTTGTGTAAACTAATTTATATAAACATAAAATGATAAAAATTTTAAGTTTCCGTCATCATTTTTGGAGTTATGATGTCAATTCTCAGTTAGTCAATTTTTTAGATTTTTGATTTTAAAAATATTTTATTTTTATAACTAATTTTGTGTAAACTAACTTATATAAACATAAAATGATAA